AGAATAAATAAGCTTTTCAACTTGCTTTAAGTCACCTGGTTTGTGGCACTTTGTTAGGACAGCCCTAGAAAACTATGCAGATCAGCTCTGCATAAAAACAATAATGCAGTGTTGGCTTTCACTGTAGGGAGGTATTTCTGGGTTAAGGGGAAGGAGGCATCTGTATGCGATAGTCCTAATGTCTGCATGACACCCTGTCCAACCTTTGATGGCCCTCTTGTTCAGCTCCATAGCTGTCATAGTGGCTGGTATGGGCACAAACACACTCTCCCAAGCTCCCTTCCTTCCACGTACTGCTTGAAGGGAAAACCTGCCTTTTGTTAGCTACTCAGCATCTGAGTCCTTTATTTGTTATGGGAAATTCCCCACCAGGTGGGACAGAGCCCAACTCCTACTGCTGGAGGCGAGACTGTCAGACACGCACTTCCTGTCTCACTTGCTATTAGAGCATTGCGTGCATGACTGTGGCTCTGCCAGGCTGGTGTGGGATGGAAACTTGGTGACAGGAGAACACTTGGCCTTGCAGAACCTACTCTGGTCAGGGCAGAGCTGCAGTATCAGATTCCATGCAGGAACAGCAAGGTTCTCACAGATGAGCTTGGGTGTGTGTGGGGTGGGAAGTGACCTTGGTGTCTTCATGGGGATAACACTGGATGCAGACCCTCCAAGTCTGGCCTAATGCCCTCCAAGGTTCCGTAACTACCCAACATACCACCCTCTTCAACCAACCACTCAACCAAGCAACCAACCAAATGAGTGAATGAATTCCCTTTATCCTTAAATCAGCTAATTTCAGTTTCTGTTGCTTGCAGCTTGAGCACTGGGCTTGACACAACTCTATTTGGTAATCTGACCTCAGATGGTCCTTGCTGATGGTGTGTCTTAGACATCTTTGAGCACAAAGGCTTCAAGATGTTCTGCTTTAACACAGGGATATGTTGAAATGTGTCGTAATTTTTAGTTCAGAAAATATCATCATGGAGGCTGATGACATGCTTGCTATACTTTTAAGGTATCTGTCAGCTGAGATCTTCCATGTGGGAGGATGGCCAGGCAATGCCACCTGACATTTGTCCTGGATCAAAGTCATCAGTGCTCTCTAAGACTGCTCCCATGTTACCATAATAATACCCACCGCTGATCCTGACTTACTCCTACGATGGGGCTTACAGCTGCTTGTGCCCCTGGCACCTTGACCTGTAGATCTGGTTCTGCACTGGGATGTGGGTTATCAGCCTCCTTCCCCATTCCTTCTTGTGCCATTGCTGGCATCTGGTGCTGGTCTATTCCTGGCATTGTGACTAAGTCTGGCACCAAGGCATGCTGCCTGTCTTGAGTCCATCTTTGCCAAGACCTGGGCCTCTGCATGACCCCACACAGAAAATGTGGTGTGATTGTAGTGGGGTCCCAGGCCAAGGCTGCAGGTTCTTTGCTTCAGGTAGATTTAAGAAAGGTCACCCCCTCACCCTGCCAGCTTAGTAGCTTTTCTTCTAAAGGTGCCAGGCTCACTTCCTGTTATTATTTCCTAAACTGGGTCAGATGTAATTCTGTGCTTTCTGGCAGCCTGGACACATAGGTGAGCAGAGACAGCTCATTCATCTTCTGTGCCTCAGCGCTGCAGGGCCCAACGGGTTTGGGCCTGGTCCTTTGTCCATTCAGGTCTCTGCACTTACTCTTCCGCCTTTTGCTCACTAGGGCAGGCACTTTGGCTCAGTCTGTGGTGACAGTCCTCACACCAGCTGTGGGCTCTTGTCCCCAGGGCACGGACTGGTTTCCAGGAATGGTCGCTGCTCTGGAAACCCGGCTGCCACAGAATTGCGCAATGTGTTTTCTTCATCTTGGCACAACTCGGTGGCTTGGGTCACACAGAGGCTCAAGGTGGTGGCAGCCACGTCCACCAGCACCCCTCTGTCAGCTGCCCTTCTGCAGTGCCGAGAAGGGGCTTACTCCGTCCCGAGTCTCCTGAAGACGACTTTGGCAATGGCCCCTGCCCCTGAGTGCTTGCTAGAATGAATGGCATATTGGCAGATGAAGTGTGTGGCCTAGGGCGTGTGGCCCAGGCCTCAGGGAGCATCCTCGGCTATCCTGGCCACCCACCCCTCATCATTTCTTCTTAGGAAGAACAAATACTTGGTCCATATACTTTATTTGGCACTTTTATCAAACTGCCTTGTAAGTTCTTTTCACATTACCCCCCTCCCCCTTCTGTTTTTAAAGACAGGGTCTTACTAAGTCCCTAGGTTCCTCAGGCTGGGTTTGAGTTTGTAATCCTACTGCCTCAGCCTCCTGGAGTGCTGGAATAATAGGTATGTGCTACTAAGCCCAGCTTCGAAGGTTTTTGAATGAACCATCTTTTAAATTGTTAAGGCAAAATGAATTTGAGTTATTATTACCTTCATCAAACTCCACAGAGGTTTTACATTCACTATTTCATATACTAAATCCACCAACCACTGACACACTGTCTGAGGCTATGGTCAAACTTGTTTGAGTGACTGAGAGCTATGATCAGAGAAAAAAGAACTATGATTTGCCCTTTCTTCTCACCTTCGTCTGTGATCCACATTTCTGTCTGGACTTAAGAGAAGATCCAAAAACTTGGATAAGAAAATAGATCTTCATTTTTCTTTTCTTTCTTTCTTTTTTTTTTTTTTTTTTTTTTTTGGTCTTTTTTGTTTTTATCAGTACCAGGGATCGAACTCACAACTGCTTGCTTGCAAGGCAGGCACTTATAGCCGCTGAGCTAAATCCCCAGCCCCTAGATCTTCATTTTTCATGTACCTAACTGAAGTTTAGCATTGCCTTCGGCTGTGAAAACAAACCACAACAGCGTAGCATATCTGAGGCTTAACAGATAAATCACAGACATTTTAACATCACATTGCAGCTACTGAAAATACCTCAAAACGCCATTTGTACTCACCAGTACTTTGAAATGACTGCAGTTAATTAGCTCTGTGGCTAGCTCCTGTTACTTTTGCATCAAGTAACATTACTATATAATTATCTTATGTATGTTAAGAACTATTTTACTATCTTTGGTTTCCTTTGCAACCCTATGCCTTTTATTTCACGCTTTTAAAACCATTCTGAGAAGTGGGCGTGGTGGTGTATTCCAGCCAAGGCTGAGGCAGGAGCATCACTTGAGTCCAGGAATTGGAGGCCAGCAACAGTTAAAAGAAAAGAATTGCAATTCTCGGAAGACATCCACGTCCCTCCCCAGACTACCACAGTGATGTACAGCACACAAGGTAAAAGGCCTCGCTATACTGTGCTTCCTGCTGCCCTGATTTGTGGTCAGTAGCCAGCAAGGCTGGGAGCTGGTCTTGCAGGTTGGTAGAGAGCTGGCGTTGACAAAACCTCCGTGTTTCAGAGGGGTCAGAAAAGGCTTTGATGGCGCGAGACGAAGTGCTTCCCTCTAGTGGCCAAAAGGCAGAACGGTACGACTAGGTAAGAGCACGAGTTGAGACTGCGGTGGTTGTTTCTTGTTCTTGGGTGTGAAACAAAGGAAAAAAGTAGCGCGGGCGCTTTGAGACCTGCCAGCTACTCTGGCCGCATCGCTTGGCACACTCTCCTCGCTTTCTGTGCTCCAGAAGTCTTTCTCCTCCGGCATTCTAAAGTTTTCTGCCTTTGGGTGCTTGACCTGCGTGTTCCCTCTTGGACAGCTCTTTTCATCTCCTGTCTAGATTACTATGACCTCCCCATATCTCACTCTTAATAAATAAAATTTTAAAATTTGAGACAGGGTCTCACTAAGCTGTAGGCTGCGCTTGAACTTTCCAGCCTCCTATCTCAGCCTCCCAGAGTGCAGTCTTCCTGTCTCAGCCTCCCACACACGTCTTGTATTCATCTCCTCTTCAGCTGGAAGGGCACAGTCGTCAGGGTGGGGTTTTGTTGCTCAGTCCCTCGCTGCACTAGACACGCGCTCGCGAGGACAGGCCTGCTTGCCTGTGCTCTCTGCAGTCGTCCCTGTGGCTGCCCAGCTGCGCTCAGTAAACACTAACATTTATAATATGTGTTTCTTCACCTCCCCTAAGCAAGGCGCTCCTGCTGTGTCTGCTGCATCCACTCAAAGCTTCCCCGCAGCCCTAGCAGCCCGAGAGGAGAGGGTCTTGGGGCAGTGCAGTGGGAACAGCGGAGGACCTTGACACAAAGCTTGGGTGGGACTGGTGGCCTGAACTCAGAGCCGGCCCTTCCTGCTCCCTCCCTGGGGGACCTTGGCCGCTTGGTGCCTCAGTTTCCCCATCTGTAAAACAGTGAAAATCACTGTTCCGATGGCACGGGAGCAGTGAGGAATATGAAATGAGGTGACGTCAGTAAAGCCTCTGATCAAATGGGGTAAAGAATCGCGGCCCGGCTGTCTCTCCTGTTTCTGTCTTGTGAAGTCCTGGATTCGGAAGTGCGGGAACTCTGCTTCGGTGGGATGTTTCCGAAAGCTGCCGAGGGGCACAGGCAAGGCAGACGGTTCCTCCTTGCAGCGTGGAGCGCTGCCTCCCGGTTTGGCACACTCTTCCCTCTTGGGGCAGGAAGGGAAGCTCGGAGACAGGGAGGCAAATCGCTTGTTTTCCTCTCCAGAGGAGAGGCTGCTTTACGGCAGAGTGGCCACTAGAGGGCAGCAGCAGTCAAGACAAAAATGCACCGGACCAGCCGGATCCAGAATTAACTGGGTTGAGCAAAGGATAGTCGAAGGGGAAAAACAGTTGGGAGAACGGCTCAAAAGAAAATAAAAGGGACTAACAGGAAGGGGATAGGTAGGTAGTGGGATTTCAGATTTAAAGAATTTCCAGAACACAAATTTTGCTAACTAGAGATTTTATAGAGAAAATTTGGGGGGGCGGGAGGCGGGATGTTAAACTACATCTGCTCAAACAGAATAGGTAAAAAAGAAAAGAGAATAGGTAAAAAGAACATGGATAGGTCAAAGCCTGTGTGACTTCACTAGGTCCCCTAAAGCAAACCCCTATGTGGCCGGCCTTAATGACGCCATCCTGTCCTGCACGTGCAAGTGTACAATAACTTTATTGGTCAGGTCAGACACCGCACATGCTTCTGCAGCCATCCTGTGGAGAGGCACCTTGGTGTCCGCATGCAGATGCTGTCTGAAGAGTCCCCAGCAAGGTGGGTGGGCTCCCCAGCTTTACCACTGCTGTCAGGGCTCCCTGGTTGAAATGAACTGGTTTGGCTTTTGTAGATGCAAGGTCTGGAGCCAAGAACAGTCTGAGGGTCCCCATCCCTTTCCAGGAAGCTGCTCCCAAGCATCCAGAGAATCACGGATGTAATGGGCATGGGCACAGACCGGGTTGACTCTCCCCAACTGTTGCCCTGGCTGCCCGGGTGGATGGGTCACAGGAATGGGTGGGCTAAGTTAGACCGCTCTGCCTTACGGAAACAGAAAGAATGGACAACGCTCCAGTCAAACTATAAAGCAAAGGCATCTTCAAAATGTAGTGTAGCTGAGATATGAAAGCAGGGTGGTGAGACCTGGCTGCCTGGCCTGGACTTTTCAGACCCCAGGGAGTGTCTCCAGCAGACACCCTGGAGCCTGCTGGGGGACAAATCCCTTAATACAGATGAGCCACACCTTCCCTGGAGCTCACCTGGGTCCTGGGCTGGCAGTGTCTGTCTCTACCGTTGGATACCTGAACCTCCTGCTTGGGTTAAAAGAGGGCAAAGCGGCTTTCTCAGGCTTGGAAACCATGTGGCCTCCACCATGGAGGGTAAATCCGGGAAGGGGAATCAGAGCACATCTGGCAAGAAAGAAATACCCAAGGCTGCCCCTCTGTTTAGCCAATTTGGAGTGTATTGGCAGCAGTACGGGTGCTGGTGATGACCAAGTCTGGCTTTTCTTCCTTTCTTCCTTCCTTTCAAGAGTTGCCCAGCTGCTAAAATCTAGCCCTCAAAATTTAGTTAAGCCTGAGGTTGGCTTTTTGGCATCAGGTCATAAATATTATCATGGCCTCCAAACTGGTAACCTTTAGTCTGGTGGCTTTCAAAACATGAATTAAGGAGCGTGGAGTGGTGATGCTCAGTATGCTCTTGGTCTCAGACAAAAGTGTGGGGGTCATTTCCACAGGTCGCTGGGCAGGCGCTGTCATGCCTTGGAGTCTCCTGACTCTGCCAAAGGCACAGAAGGGGTGTCCGTGAAGAAAGGCTGGATGGACAAGGCGGACTGGGAAGGAGGCGGCTGGACAAGAGGTATATTTTGAGGAGCAGGGAACAGGAGCTCAGGTAGCTGCACAGCCAGTCCAGCACATGCGCAGAGAAACTGCTTGATAAGTACGCGTAAGTGCTATTGCCCAGACAATGCTGAAAGCTCCCTGATGTCAGGTCACAGGGAGAACTTAAAGTAGGGAGATTTCTGGGGTTGGGACTTCCAGGGAGGATTCCCCCGCCACTAGTTTTGTCCCCTCGGGAACAGAGAGCTTCTAAGTCCTCAGTAGAAGCCTGCCCGGCCCCCGATGCCACCTAACTCTGCCTATGGGAAGAGACTACAGAGGAGCCCATGGACTTGCGTCACATGGTTGTCCCAGACCTTCCAACAAAAGCCAAACCAAACCAGCAAGCCAAATGCAGGGGATGGCGGGGGACACCGTGAGGGCCGCTCAGATCTCAATGAGGCTGGCGAGGCGCAGGCAGAGGGGGGCGTCGACCGGCATCGCGCTGCGCTGGATCTCGTTCCCGTCCAGGCGCAGCACCTGCAGCTTGGAGAAGTTCATGACGTCCACCACGGTGCAGAAGCTGCTGATGGAGAACTCTGCAGGGGCGAGAAGGCGGGGAGTGGAGGCCCAGGTCAGGGAGAAGGGGAGGGGGGGGAGGCCCCTGGGAAGCTGCTTATAAAGATTTCTGTCGCAAGGGTGGAACTTGGGAGGGGTGGGAAGGTGTTTCCCAGGACTGGAGTCACTGGACAGGCACAGCTAGGGGACAAAAGTAGGGAGGGAAGGCGGAAGGGAGGGAGAGAGACGGAGAGGGAGACGGAGAGGGAGGAGGGTACCTGCTTTCACAGCGGTGCCTGTTTAACAGACACTCCCCCGACCCCCCACCTCCCTCACCCCCGCCTGCCCGCAGTCCTTTGAATGTCCTTGAGCGTCCTTCGCTTCAGGGTTTTTTTGTTCTTCTTCTTCTTTTTTTTTCCTTCTGTGGGCAGCAGGGGGAAGCAGAGGGCAGCCAAAAACCAACAGTAGCTTCTGCTTTCCGAAAGGGGGGCTTTGCTGAATTGCCATGAGAAGGAAGGCTGGGGGAAATAAAAGGCTTAAATCTTGAAAGTCTCCTGCTTCTTTGCAGATAGATAAAGTGGCAGGAAATTAAAGCGAGAAATCCTGGGCCGAGGGACAGCGTCTCTGTGCTACAGGGCTTGGAGAAGCCTGTGCACCCACGCACACTGGACCACGCTCCTCTGGGGCTCAAGCAGGCTGCACGCTCCAACCTCTCAGCTGTGCTGGGCCTCACAAATCAAATAACTAACTCCCTCGCTTCCTGCGTTTAATACAATTGTGGTCTACTTCTGTCTTAAAGTCTTAAACGAAGTCCTGTTGCGGACTTCATCATAGATACAACAGTTCTGTCTGCTGTTAGTGTGAATCCTTCCACATTATTTGCTCTGGTTGCCTTTCTCTGAACAAACCAGTTCTTGCTCACATATCTCTTGGACCAACCAACCACTTCAGCTCTCAGTGGATCTGCAGAGGGAGTTGGAGGCGCCACCTCGGGGCCTGGAGGCAGAGGAGGATGGGTGCTGTCCCGAGGGGCAGACCCAGAGCTGGGGCTTGTTTTTGTCCCACCAGGCTTGCTTTTGCCCCTGAAGCCGTTCAGGAAGTGATAGAGAGAGGCTTTTCTAGCTCCCTTCCCAGAACAGCCCAGGGGTGCGGTTGGAGGAGGTGATGAGGATAGGTAAAGGTCAGGGGTCGGAGGAAGACAGCACGCAGACAGGCTGAGGAGTATTACCATTAACGTCAATTGTGGCTCTCCGTGCCCAGTAAGAGCTGAGCCTGTGAGATGGGGGAGTTAGTCGGCACCAGATTAATTTGTATTGCAAACATCAGACAAAAAATCTAGGTCCCAAGAGTAATTCTCGGAGACTGGGAGATGCCCTCCACGCAGAGGCAGAGATCTGGAACGCTGTGGGATGTTTCCTCTGGCTCCAGGGAGTAGATTCCACAGGCAGAGGTTCCGTTAGCAGCTGTTTGTGTGTTCTGCGTGCAGAACTGGGTCCGAACACTCCTTCAACGTTCACCTGGAACTGAGCTAGAGGCGCAGTGATGTGTGCTCTCCCGGCCTGGAGTCCTCACACCCTGAGTCCCAGATGCAGATATCTAAATAGAGGACATACCTGAGGGGAGCTAGACAGTGTGTACGGATACTCCCCAACACGGGGCCCTGGGAGCTCCCCCAACTGCTCTGGCTTCCCCAAACCTATGAATAGCACAGGGCTTGTGTGTGAAGCTGGGCTGGCATTTTCCAGTCCAGATGAAATACTGACATAAGTCTTTCCAAATTCCTCCTGGGGTACCCGCCCTGTTCCACTAGATCCCAGAGCTTCCGAATAACATTCCATGCCCTGTTCCCTCGCTGATGCCAGGGTGGAAAGCTGCGGGAGAGACTGACAGAGGCGGAAGGGAGGAGAGCATCCTGTCTTATTTCCTTGCTTGCCTGAGTTCTCCTCAGAGGGCCACTTTGATCCTTACCCCAAATCCCTGGGTGGAGGAAGACATCCCGCACATCTACCTCGAAAAGGGAGAGCCTGGGAAACTTTTCCTGCTGAGGGGGTCTGAGTCAGAAAATTGCCTGCACAGTCTTAGGGTGCCTGGCTCCAGGCCCCTCTGTATTCACAGCAGGAGCGTAGTCCTCTACCGTATAGTCTGGGTGACCTTGAGAAATGGCTATTCTTTCTCTTTGCCTCAGTTTCCTCAACTTCGTAATACAAACAGTGACAAAAAATGGTATGTCAACCTCAGAATGGCAATGAGAGGAAAAGCTGACAGTTGCCATATATCGGGTTTTAAATTATATGCTAGGCCCTGGGTCAAGAATTTTGCACATATTGACTTACTCATTTAAGGTAAGGCATTGAGATTGTTTGGCTTAAAGAAAACACTGGGGAAAAGAATAAATGATAAGGGATTATGCTTCAATGGCACACAAAGAGATTGCGGTAGACACTGAAAATTCTTATGTTGTTGATGGGAGAAATTTCCTGCAGGCCCTCGGAATGCTTCATTAAGTAATTTGGCTTTCCGATGAGCTTTCGGGAGAGGTGGGCGGCCCCATGTGTGAACAGCAAGGCACAGTTCTGCAGGAGGGCAGAGAGGTGACCAGACACTGACACCCACCTGCCTCCCACCTGCCCGATGCCACAGCTGGCAGTGGGTTCTTCCCCGGGATGACTGCTCTTTGCTGTCACATCCTTGTGGTGAAGCTTAGAAGAGGCACACTGTAACATCTGTGCAGTGCAGCAGATGAGGCGTGGTGACTGAGGGGAAGGGGAGATGGAAAGCCAGGAGGAAGTGCCCAGCCTCGCTGCCTGGGACACCTTCAAGATGGCATCTTCAGCCTCATCCTGGGGGTGCAAAGACCCCCAAAACAGACAGATTTTAAATAACCAGTTGGAATGTCTGAGTGGTGCCTTGTGCTTTAACCCACACAGCCAGGCAGATGGTTCTCAGGTCTCCACCTTGCCCTCAGGACTGTCACCTCCAGCACTGTCCTGAGGCTGGCTTCCCTGTCCTCAGAGGCTGTCCAGCCCTAACATCTTCCTGAGCACAGGAGGAGAAAGCGGGCCCAATCTCTCATTGTGCTTTGATAGTGTGGTCCTTTCCAGCAGGCTCTGCTTCAAAGCCTTCTGCTGTGGTCATTAACAATGTCCCCTCCCTGAGAGAAGCGGCATGCACAGGGGCAGGAGTGGCTAAATGCCAGTGTGGGGCCTTGTGGCTGAGATTGAGACATCAGACGTCCTGGGGTAATGTAAACATTCTGCACACAAGAGCCCAGAACCAGGAAGCTGAATAGCGATGAGACTGGTCCAGGGGAAATGCATCTTTTAGTTCTCTGAGATAGAGGGGCCCAGCTCTTTGGTTGTTTTAGGGGTTCTGAAGGAGGTGCTGATAAAACAAGCGGCCCCACATCCTCCCCAACCCACCCCAAGGCTTCTGGGGCTCTTGGTACCCTACGGAGGATCCCTGCCCTGCCACCAGGGGCTCCCCGGACTCCAGGGAGAGCTGCCCTGAACAAACACCACATTCACTTTGAAAGGGAGAATATTTTTGCCCACCAGCTGTTATGTTTTAAAAACAAACACAAAACACAAGACCAGGCTGTGGAGGCAGGAGTCAGTCATGGGGAAACCGATCCTCCTGGCCAGGTGAGGAGGAAGCATGCACTCCGCCTTCCAGGGTGGACCCTAGAAGTCGCTTTTCCTTCCATCTCTCTCGGTCCCTCCCCTCTTCCTCCCTCCCCTCCCTCTTTCTTCCTCTCCCCGCTCCTTTCCTTTCCTTCCTTGGTAGAGAATTGAACCCAAGTCCTCTGCACTAAGCAGCACCTCAGCCCTTTTTTGCTTTTTAACCTTTTTGAATTCGAGGCGGGCTCTCACTTAGTCACAAGGTGGCCTCGAGCTTTTAGTCCTCCTGCCTCAACTTCCCAGAGTGCTGGGATTACAAGTGTGCCTGTGTCCTTCTCCAGGAACTGCTCCTTCCCAAATCTGCTCCCAACTCACCTTGACCTCCTCATGTCACTCAGGCCTCCCTGGCTGTCCCCTTTGAGGGAGACTGGCCTCCCCCAGCCTTGGCCCCTTTCCTCTCCAACCCTACGTGTAAGCACCCTCTCCTAGTCCCTGCCAACCCCTCCCTGGGAGCTTTTCAGCACTGCTGTTGGGGAGGAGCAGCTGTTGGTGTCGGTCAAGGCTATGGCTTTGGTTTTCAAGTTGCTTCTTCTTTTTTTTTTCAGCATTGAGGACTGAACCCTGGCCTTGCACTGAAATACATCACCCACTCTTTTTAAATTTAAATTTTAGTTCAATAATTTCATATTTGTTGGTACTGGGAATTGAGGCCAGGGCCTTTTCACTGACCTATAAATCTTCTGGCCCTTATCTTAATATTTTATTTTAAGCTAGGGTCTCGTTAAATTGCTAAAGTGCTCACCAGACTTGACTCAAAGTCACCATTCTCCTGCTCTAGCCTCCCAAGAGCTGGCATTTCAGGTGTGTGCCACCACACCTGACCGTTTTTGATATTTAGATTTTGAGACAGGAGCTCACTGAGTTGCCCAGGCTGGTCTGGAACTTGTGATGTTCCTGCCTCTGCATCCTGTGTAGCTGGAATTACAGGTGCGTGTCACTGCGTCAGACTGGTGGCTCCCCATGGTTCCCCTCTGCCTATCCCTCTGCCCAGGCTCACCGTTGATCCTGTTGCCCTGGAGGTAGAGGTTCTCCAGGTTGGTGTTCACAGGGGGGATCTTCTGCAGCTGGTTGTAAGAAAGATCAAGCTCCAGGAGGCTGCTGGCGTTGAAGCTGTTGGTGGCCAAGCCACTGTTGGTGAGACTGTTATGCGACAGCCGCACATACAGCAGCTTGGGCGAGCCCCGGAAATAGCTGTCCGGGACAGTGTAGACATTGTTGTGCTCCAGGTACAGCTGCTCGAGGGCCGTGGGCAGCCCGTCAGGCACCCTCCGGAGATGGTTGTAACTCAGGTCCAGCAGGATCAGGGACCGGAGGCCCCTCATGGAGCTGCCTACTTCTTGGATCTCATTGTGGTGGAGGTACAAGGCTGTGAGGTTCTCCAGCCCTTCCAGGGCATTGTTGGGGACCCTCGAGATCTGGTTGTGGTCAAGATGGAGCTCTCGCAGGGATCGAGGCAGGGGGCCAGGCATCCGAGTCAGGTTGTTGTGGTCCAGGTATAGCCTCTCCAGGTGCCTCAGCTTGGAGAATACCTTCCTGCCCACCTTGTCACTGGTGATCTGGTTGCCGTGGAGAGCGATCCACAGCAGCCCTGTGGCATTGTCGAAGACACCTTCCTGGATGGAAGTGATCTGGTTGTTCTGGAAGTAGACGTACTTCATGCGAGAGGGGACAAAGGGCAGGTACTTGAGGTTGCGGTTGTCACAGTACATGGCTGTGGGGAAGTTGGGGGGACAGTCGCACTCCTGGGGACAGTCACGGGGCTCTGGTGGGGGCAGGGAGCCGTAGGCATAGGCTGGCCCTTCCTCCACCCCATACGGGTAAGGCTCCGAGGGCTCATACGGGTAAGGGTCATAGGGATCGTAGTAGGTAGACTGCTGGCTGCGGAGGTACTGGAACCACCAGTGAGGGTCTTCGTCATACTGGGCCCAGGAGAGGGAGCAGAGCCCCACCAGCAGCAGGAGGGACAGCCGCTGCATTCTGTCTCTGCAGGGAGGGAGAGGGCAGAGAGCAGCTGGGTGTGAATGAGACCATGGCGGGCAGAGAGGCAGGCTAGGCAGGGCATGGGCTCAGTGGTGTGGGCTCACTCCCTTTCCCACTTGGCTCACTCCGTCCTGCTGGACCTCAGCTCTCTGGGGTGACCCAAGTGTGCAGCTCCAGGCAGAGTCACAGAAACAATATGTGAAATTAGGAGGAACTTGAGTGGGAGGAGGATGCATTTTTTGGAAGGACTGTTGCGCAAGCTGGGAAGCCCAGGACACTCCCTGTGCGTGCATACGTACGTGTGTGCGTACGTCTGTGTATGTGTGCATGTGGGCGGTGTGCATGTAGCATGTAGATGTATGCACGTGTGTGGAGGGGGATAGTGGTGGACTGCTCTCAGGCTTCAGTTCCCATCTAGTTTGCCCTCTCAGGGAAATCACATTTTCTAAGAGTCCAGGAAAAGTCCCCTGGCTCTTGCCATGGCTCTGTCTCTGGGAAACCTCATGAAATGGCTGCAGACATCAAAGGGGAAGTCTGAACTACTTCTGGGAGATATTGTGGTCTCTTGGACAGGCTGTGGGCTTCTGGCCCTGAGTGCCTGGGGAGGGGCGTGGTCCCTCTGCAGCCACCACAAGACCTGGGCTGCCTTCCAGAGAGCCATTGCCTGTAACAGTCAGCTGGGCGAGAAGATTCTGGTTAGTGGCTTCTAGTTACAGATGCCTCCCCGTCTCGAAGGAACAGCTACACATTCTCTCCAGACTGGAGACGCCGGCACTGGATGGGTGCTTGTCCCCAGTGGGCTCTGAGGGTATGAGGTTTGGGTTATGTTGCATCTCTCTCTTCTGTGGGGCCTAGTGAACAGTGAGTGTTCCTCCTGCTATGCAGGAGCCCAGAGAAATGAACCAGGAACACTGAAAATCAGAATAGAAGTTAGAAGTACAGGGGCGGGGTGTGGGGTGATCCCCCAGGGAAAGTGGTTCAGGACAGGATGCTAGCACCTCCTCTTTTATCCCACTCGTCACTGCCTAGTCCAAGTGATAATACCTAGTGCCCCAGGCTCTGTATCTAGGGCCCCCATTGCTGGGCAGCCTTGCAATGCTAGTGAGATGAGAATAGAGCAGATTGAGGAGCAAATGTGAGGTCTAGGGTTGTCTGAGAAGGAAGCTGAAGGTTTGGAAGATGAGGAGCCAGGGGGTAGCACATAAATTACTGACACCCCACTCCAGTTACTTAGAGTCAGCCTACTGCTAAGTCCTGTGGGCAGTGGGAATCTTCCAGTGTGTCACCCCGGGACAGAGTTCAGAAGCTTTTCTGGCCTAGAAGAGTCATATGTGTCTTTAACATTGCTTTGGATCTTGCCAGAGGGACAAGAAAAGGCAGGTATACAGAAGAAACCTTGAATCTAGTGAGCCATGAAAGGACCCCAATGGTGACCCTCCATCCAGTCACCAAGGGCCACCCTCCCTTCCTCTCTGTCCCCACAGGTAATTCCCATAAGCCTGCTTCATCCTGTCAGCTCCTGGGTTGCTGAGAATCGGACTCCCTGGCCTATCCCTGGGCAGCCACAGGCCTCAGACAAAGAGGTCCAGTGTTTCTGTGAGGCAAACCCAACTGCCCACTGCCTGGGCATGCTAGCTGGTCACTGACTGTGGCCAGGAGGGAAGAAGGATAGAGTGGCCCACTGCCAAAAGCACATTTTTCCATGCCCAGCCCTGGGCTGCTGCAGGACCAAGGTGGCTGTCTGGAGGGCTGGCATAGTGAGCCTCTGTCTCCATTTCTCCTTCTTTCAGACTGGGCACATTGGCAGATGAGAGCCACCATCCTCAGCAAGACCCCACTTCCCAGGGGCTGCACACCCTGCCACTTTGGCCTCTCTTTAGAGCTGGCCATTGGGAGAGTTGGAGGGAGCGCGTGCCTGTTCTCATCTCGCTCCATCTCGCAGCCTTGCTGTTTCGGGGCTGGACCTCCACAGTTGCCTTCCATCAGGCCAGAGACCACTCCAGTCTGTGCTCAGAGTGCGAATGATGCCAAGCTCCCAGGACTGGCACTCAGGTTCCTCTGCTCCCGTGCCATGTGTCCATTCTAGGAGAAGCACTCTTTCCCCTAGCAGAGTCCAGGAGGTCAAACCAGAGGCCACCCCTCACCTGGGTGAGATGCCCTCAGTCCACAGCTCCCTGGATGCGGCCAGTGCTGAACTCTTCTCTTTATTCTCTCCTTTTATCCCAGGAATACACACACACACACACACACACACACACACACACACACACTGCATAAAACTTGCACACTCACACTCCTCCCACAGCATTTAGGTACCACCACCCCTGTCTATGAGAGATTTCAGGGGCACTCTCAGAGTACCCTCCAAAGGGTCCCAAGAAGCTTCTGTAGATAGCTGGTCCCTTGCTTTTTCATGCCTGGAAATCAGATGCCACCCATACCCATTAAGAGGCTATAGGAGAAAAATACCTGCCAGGACCATTCCTTCTGGTCCTGTCCCCTCTCTGCTGTCCCTGGGGTCACGGTAAGAAGAGGGGGGCAGACTTCTCCCTGCCCACCCCTCTCCCCATACCTAGCCCTTTCCTTTTTTTCTTTTGTGAATCATAAGGGACAAAACCCAAAGTAAAATTACTGTACTTACCTCAAGTTGAACCTTTCAGAGAGTGATCACGTCCCCCTGTCTGGTCTTCTCGGGTAGGAGAACGTGTGAGAGAGACAGACAGAGAGAGAGAGAGAGAGAGAGAGAGAGACAGAGAGAGAGAGAGAGTGCCTACTGAGAGTGTGTGCCTCAGTGCCAGGCCAAGGCCCGCCCCCAAATTCCTAATCAAATATAGTGCAGAGAGGCACCAGACTGAGGTCGAGGCTGAGCCCGAGCCTCCTCTGCAGGGGAGGAGCTCACACTCCTTGCAAAATCCTTCCTTCTGCCTGACGTTTTAAAAACCACCTTCTTTCCACTCACTTATCTTCCCTGGAGCTTTGGCAGCGCTGGGTCTTCCTGCTAAATGAGTTAGTGGCTCCCTCGATGTTATTTGCAGTCTCTGATGAAGAGCCTGGAGTTCTCATTAAGTCCACAGCGGCAGATGCTGACCAGGGAGGGCCAGATTTGGAAAGAAGCCTCTCAACTCTTTCAGCAACCCCAGTTCTCTCAGGCCCCCAGGCCCCCACTTACTGGGTCAAGCGCCCCCTACAGGCAAGTGTTTGCCTCGTGGCTAAGAAGGTGTAAGGGGACCCTGGGCTTGGGTTGGGTCCTACTCCTGACCAGTGAGACCATTCTAGGTTACAGCCTTCACCCTAGGCCCTCAGTCCAGCTCCCACGATCGGATCAAAAGACAAGGCAGGGAATCTAATATTTGTCCATCAACTACTATCTGCTTGCAACAATTTTACAGCTATGGATACCTGCCTGGTTGGACTGTAGGGGGAACGTATGAGACCAGGTGGGTGAGGCATCTGCCTGACTGGTGTCCTCTACAACAGAGACAGAGAGAGAGGCAGAGCCCCTGAGCCAGGGAGAGATCAAGTCAGAGAAATGGGCAAGACTAGACCATGGAGGGACGTTTATGCAAAGGATTTGGTCTTTATAGCTTATGCCGCTGAGCTAAATCCCCAGCCCCCTGATTTACATTTTTGAAGGCCCATAAGAAAGGCTGTGGTGTGGAGACAAGGACCAAGGGTGGAAGCAAATGGTCCAGTCCAGACTCCGGGAGAGACAAGTGCAGGTTGCACCAGCTCAGAGGAAAAGAGGTGAAATATTTTGGATGGAGCTGAAAAGTCTCACAGATAGATCAGATGTGGGGAATTAGGGAAAGTCAAGATGACTCCTGGACTTCTAGTTTTAATTTGAACAACTGGGTGGGTGGTGGTACCATTTCCTGACATGGGAAGGGATGACGAAGGACATAGTCAGGCCAGGAAAGAAAACCGAAGTTCTACTTTGGGTGTGCTAAGTTGGAAAGCCTGTGAGGCATCCCAGGGGAGATGTGTGCAGGCAGCTGGATACAGGAACCCGAGCATGGAATTGAGGAGCTAGGAGAAGACATTCAAGAGCCATTAGAATGTGGACTGGGTAGGCTCTTGGTAGCTTAGATGCTCTGCGTGTCCTATATGCTTTTTTCCCAAATCATTGTCTTGTGTCACCATCAAAGGGAAACACTCCTTAGGTCAACAAAAACAGCAATCCAGAAGCGCTTGGATGATTTGAATGTGCAGAATGCTGAAGTGTCAGGACAGCTGGGACTTTTTGGTTTCTGCAGTCCATTAGAGCTGGTGACTTAATGTGTAACCAGAGGTGCTTATCCAGCACCCACTCTTCTCAGAATTTAAGAAGAGTTTTAAAAGAGGAAAAGTACTGAGCAAGCCCTTGCCAAACATGCTATAAACTTGATGCTTAACTCATCTCTTGTAATGATCATTGTAGCTGTTCTGGGTTGGAAATGATGGTAAGTGATAACGGGTAAAATGTATTTGAACCTACAGGACTCAAAGCCCCCTTTCCTATAATTCTAGATCAGAAGATTGGGGGATGGGAGCAGGTAAGGATCAAGATGACATGCAACTAATTATAGCAGCTCGATCTGCTTGAATTTGGTGGCAGAAGCGTGGGAAGATGAAGAGAGACTGGGACACAGGGGTTCTGTTCCTAACCCCATACATATTTAACTTCAGTTTTTTTTTTCTTCTTCTTTTTTTTTTTTTTTCTTTTTGGGTACCAGGGATCGAACTCACGACTGCCTGCTTGCAAGGCAGGCGCTAATGACACTGAGCTAAATCCCCAGCTTAACTTCAGTTTAATGAAGAAGAGCATCTCTTCTCTGCCCAGCGCGGTACTAAGTGCTGATGATACCAAGATGCTTTGGTGTAATGTCTGCTCATAACACAGCAGATGCACATGTGGGTGGCAGGCACTAGACCTTAGAAGTAAAGCAGAATAGCTTTAATGTGAAAATGGTTATGAATAAAGCACAGGTAATTCTAGTCATTTTTTTTTTAACCCAGAGAGCAGCCACTTTTCAATAGAGGACAGTGGCCTTAGCAACCGGGCTTGTTTGACGCGTCTTAGATGGGCTTAGCTAGTCCAGGCAAACCCATCTGAGTACAGATGTTTATTTATTTATTTTTTGAAATTTCCAGCATACCGACTAATACTGCACTTACTAATAGTGAAAGCCAGGAGAATCTGGGGACTGAATTTTGGACAGGGATCCTATCCAACCAATCCCTACCCAACCAGGCAGGGTTTCCATGGGGTTTGTTGTCCATTTCTTTCTTTCTTTATTTATTTTTTTGTCTTTTTCATTTTTATCGGTACGAGGGATCGAACTCATGACTGTCTGCTTGCAAGGCAGGTGCTTATGCCGCTGAGCTAAATCCCCAGCCCCTTGTCCATTTCTAAAGCACTGCAGTTTGTACCTAGTGTTTTCTCATCCATTTCCTTTCAAGAGTCCCTGGAGAGAAAGAAGGTGAGAGGGAGTGACTGGTACTGGGTCAAAAGGTAGAGTTCCAGGGAAATATTCACTGTCAAGAATTTCCTTTTCTGGCCTCTGAAGGGGGTTCTAACCTCCATTTTGACTATCCTCGCTCTGTTTTCTGGGTTCCAGAGTCTAGAATCTCAGAGTTTAGCTTCAACATGGGAAGCCTATCATGGGACCCCAATGTCCCCAGATTGCTGAAGGGGACCATACATGAAGGAGGCCCACTGGGGACACAAGTGCTTTCTGGGAAGTGTCATGCCAGCGTTGCACAGTCACTAGAGTGCAGGCAACCTACTCATTTCTGTAGCCCCATCTCCAGCTGGACGTAGACTGGATGGCATCTTGGGGGCAAAGAGTTATGAAATGAATTGTATTTTGGCTCCCTATAGAGTCTCTCCAACTTCAAAATCAATCTTGGGTCAAGTAGCCACCACCAACAGGCCAGGAAAACCCTCAGACATTCAGGCCAATTAGATTTTCCAGGAGTTCAAGCTGTTGCTATTTCCTTCCTATCCAGAATAGTACAGGTTACACCATAACCATCAGGCACAACTGATTGCCTCTGATGTAAGCCCCACCCTGGTGGGAGGACTCAAATTCCCACCATCCCAGACATGATGCCGTTCCTGTGGCCACTGACACTTTCCTCTTCACCGCCTACATGACAGGACCTGTGTTGACATAGCCTTTATCCCAGACATCCCAGGGACAAGAGGTAAGACTGGAAATTCACCCAAACAGAATTCTTGAGCTGGATCTAAGAAGTCAGTAGAAAGATGATCATGATTATACAACCCAGGCCTGTCCAGAAAACGCCTGATGACAGGGAGGGATTTTTAACTGGTCTGATATTTTGACGGAAAGTCTTGGCTACACTGTCACCTAAAAATGGTGTCCTGAAGTTTCCAAGAGAGATGTTTTTCCTACCCCTTGGCACTGAGAGGTCATTAGAAGTCCTTAGCATGAAGAGTCTCCTTTCCAGAAGGTTGAACATCGTAAAGATACTGGGACTGGGGGAAAGACTTGTTTTCTTTCAGCTGTGAAAGGAGAAATACTTGAAGTGCCAGTTCTAGGAGAAGTACTGAGAGCTTCAGAATTTTCTCCCAGTATGTATAAGGCAGAAAACACATTTCTCTTTTAATAGATAACATCTCTTATTTTTACTGTGTATTTATAGCGTGCTTGATATTTTAACACAATGATGCCGAGATGAATTCCAAAAGACCACTTTCTAGAAAGGAAGAGTGACTTTGAGTCAAGGAAAGGAGAGAGAGAGCAGAGTGAGGAAGGAGGCAGAAAAGATAACAGAAAACCTGAAACTTGGAGGGTTTATTATTCAGTGATCCACTACGTGACAATCACCTTGATTCTGCAAATGAGCTGGGAACTAACGGGGTCCTTTAGATTGTGCTATGGTGATGGGAAGCAATCAGTGTACTACACACCAGTTCCCAGGATGTAGCCAAGGAAATCAAATGTCTAGAGGTGAGACTAGGCCCAAATATTAGAGTTAACATGCCAGGTACCATTTCTAAGGTTTTCACCACAACCCTAAAAGATAGGTGTTATCAGACCTTAGACACATACAGAAACAATATAATTGAATGATGAAACCTAGAAGAGCTTGTTCATTTGCTCAAGATTGCATAGCAATACGTGGCAGCGCTAGGTTTCTAGACTTACGTCAGCCTACTTCTAGAGTCTGAGCTCCAAACTACTGCGCTGTAGATAGAAGCTTCAGTGTAAACGAGAAAGCAAGGCTTTGGACATATAAATGTGCTCAAACTCTAGCTCTATCACTTGTTTTTGTCTGTGACTTTGAGCTAGCTATGTAAGCATGAGTAAGACTCAGTGCACGCATTATAATGTGGGGATGATGGCCCTCCCAACACGAGTCCCTGGGAGGACAAAGCGAGGTAAAGAATGTGGGCTCCTAATAAGGAGACTACCAAGAGGTGGCCTTGAATGAATGGCAGCCACTGTTAGTTGTTGTAGGAGAGTGCAATTTCCCTGAGGAGGGAAGCAATTGTCACTGTGCCTCTAAGCAACGTTCTCCACAGGTATTAGGCCTTTTATAAATATTAGTTGATTAAATGAGAGGTGAAGAGGTTGGATTTCACTAAAGGGTAGTCAGCTACTTTGGTAATAAGGCCAGTCTTAGAGAACTTACCAAGGGTAGAGGTGGACGTTTAGTGTCTAAAATCATTAAATCCTTCAATAAAAGCAAGAGAGTTGAGTGCAGGGCTCTCCATAGATGCGGGAAAATGCCTTTGAGGAGAGACAGAGAAATATCATACTTACCTAGAGGATGAAGGAGAAGATCAAGATCCAAGAGCCAAGTACAGAGCAGTTTAGGAGAGAAGATGCCCTGTTTCTTCTCAGAGTTTAAGGATCAAGAGCAGGGTGGGAGGGCT